TTCACAAAATCTGAAAAAATAAATGAATGAATGAATAAATCAATTAATTATTGAATGATAAATTTAATATAAAGTAAGTCACGAATTTTGATTTTTTTTTTTACATACTCTAATATTATATTTAAATAGTCGTCTGCCTTGACATATCCTTTATATTTTACAATGTTGGGGTGCTATCAATTCAATAATATCTTGTAAATATATGATTGTAAATATACGATTTGATTAATAAATGACTTAAGAATAACAATGATCGTTACGTACATTTAAATTTTTTAATAATTCAATTTCACCCTATAATATAAAAAAGATGTGAGATCATTGGAATAAACAATTTTGAAAAATCGAAAAATATAATAAAAAGTACGTAATCTGAAAGTTTACCATTATAAAAGTTAGCTCCGATTTTTGTAGATCGTTGATCTTCACCTGTTTAATTGCTACCGCTTCACCAGTTACCATATTCAAAGCTTTGTAGACAGAACCGAAAGAACCTTTTCCAAGGCATTCTTTACTTAATTGCTATCATTATTATTATTATTATTTTTTTAAAAAAAATGGTATTTAATCGTTAATAATTAGATCAATCCAATCTTTTAAAATTGAATTAATTGTAAGTGGATTTGAAAATACTTGCATAATTTTTAATCGTTCCCATCTTTCTAGTGTAAATTAACTCACTAACGTTTTACAAAGTAAGATGAGAATTTCGTACCAAAAAAATCAAAAGAAAATAAAAAAAAAGGGGGGATTTTTTAAAAAAATTAATAATAGAAAATTATTGATCATAAGTTAAAAGGAAATGTTAAAAAATTGAGACGTTTATAAGAAGAAATTATGAACTATAAAAGTGGCACGAAGGAAAGGCGCAGTATACAAAGATAGGTAAGATATCGATAAATGGAGGTAAGTACGTAGGAATTATTATTAAGGCCGATAAAAAATAGTTCGAATTTAAGAAACACAGAAAAAAAAAAAAAAAAACGGTTAGTTCATTTGGTTTACGAAGTACAAACCTCGAAATAAGATTATAAAAAAAAAAAAAGGTTCAAAAAAAATTTTTTTATTTTTCTTGGTTAAATTATCCGAATTCAGAATTTTTCTAAGTGGTATAATCAATAATTTTATTTTGAAGGATCATTTTAATAAAGTTATGAGGGGTAAGGGGAAGATTACCAAACATTAAACGAATCTGGAATCGAGAAATGTTTTGGCGATCAACTTAGCTTTTTTTGCGGCACATTTAAATACTATATAAATCAGGCAAGTTGATCGAAAATAGGGGGGGTAGAACTAAAAAAAAATAAAGGGTTACATATATTAATTTGTACAGTATTAAATTTTATTAATTTTATTTCGTGAG